TAAATTTTAAAGATTCTTTTACTGGATAAATTAAAAATATTAATGGTGGTTGAATTGGATTTTTAAAATATTTTAAAGTTTCTGCCCACTTCTCTGATCCCTTGAAATTATAACACAAAAAATCAAGTCATTAAGTCAAATGAGTTTCAATGTATATACTTGGTTTCTCTCTCTCTCTGTTTCTCTCTCTCTCTGTCTCTCTGTTTCCCAGCCTCCCTCCCTTTCTCTTTCCCTTCCCCTTCTCTCCTCATATTTTGAGCCAGCCAATATCATTTGAGCACATACCTTGCAACAGTGAAGGTACCAGGAGCCCCAGGGTAAGCTCAGCCCTGCCCTCTACCATTTGGAAGGCCTTGGCCATCTTGTGTCAATCTGCCATTGATGCAAATACTAACAGATGCCCCATAGGTAGCATGCGCAGACACCCCAGACATCTCTAACTGTTGGAATTCAGTCCTTCTTCACTAACGCATCCCCCAGATAGGGATGGATGTTAGAACTCCAGAAGGAATGAGGTTAAGAGATTTTCTTAATAGCTGGGGAGTTCTTGTTTCATATCTACCTTCATTCTCAGCTGATATCCCCCATCACCACCCCTGTTCCTTACTTTTGGATTCTCTCAGCTCCAAGTTTGCTAAAGGTTATTTCTTCAAATTTCTTTAAATAAGATTTGAAAACAGTTGGCTTCAGTAACCTCCTCATGATTGAAAAATGCCTATGACTATGGTCTCCTAAGGATTTTATTTTAACTTGTTCTAAGAATATCCTAGTGGGACTATTTCGTCATGAATAATTGCCATTACAAAACAAAACACATGATGCTCTATCATTTTCTAAGCACATAAGCAAGATCTTTGGAAGGCTGCAACTCCTCTGAGCCTCTCATCTCTATCTTTGGCCACCTGGCGGGTAGCCCTGATTTTTAAAAAAAAAAAAAAAAATGTAAAATACCAGTGCTTCCTGGGGACCTAGGGTTTTTTAACCACAAAAGCAGCCTCAACTACAACTCATACCATCTGCTCCGATGAACAATGACTGAGGTGGAGAAAGTGCACTAGAATCCAGCCCCTCCCTTGCATGACAGAGATGGTAAGGGTGAGAGGGATCTCTTTCTCTCTTCCTAATCTCCAGACAATGAGACACCACCAGTAGAATTCTTGCTGGCTATTCCCAATTTGATGCCAGGCAGTTACAGAAACAATGTTTTTCATGAAGACTTCTTGGTTAAGAAATCTCTCCCCTTTAGAGTCTAACAAAGCAGTGGTTTATGAACCTTCTGCCTCAACTCAAAGAATCTAGACTGAGCTTTCTGAACTGTTGAGAACAATCCAACCACTCCTTGTTCTGTGTGCTCAGTTATCATTTTCTAGGCAGTTTTTTAAAAAATAAAAAATTATGCTGGGGTGAGCAAATGCTGAAAATTCCCTTTGAAGTCTCCTGGCAAGTTATAGGGAAGGGATCACTCTCAGGCAAAGGAAAAGTGTCTGAGGGAGTTCTTTCTGTAAGAGGCAGGAGAAAGATTTGTCTGCCTTTCAATAAAAAAAACTTTAAATGGGCTTCTGCTTATTTTCTTGGTTCCTCCCTCCCTGTGTCCTTTTACCCTGGTAAGCTCCATTGTTAGAACTGACTGCTTTATCCCTAACACTGGGCTGTTTGCAGAAGCAGCAGAAAAGCCACATGTTAAACTATAAAATAAGAAGGTATCCATTTCCTCAGGAAGCTTTTCCTTAAGAAGCATTCTACAACTGTACAGCGTAATAGCCGGATAGGATGGTTAGAGTAGAGTTTCAGCTTGAGTGGGCTTAAGGTCCCCCATGGATTGCTGGCGCTCACTTCCAGGTGTGCCTGGGCATGTCACACGGGTGTGGCCTTAAGGATCCGTGGATGGCCCCTGGCCCCTTCCTCTCTGGCTCTCTTTCCCTGCTCTGCTTCCCATCTGCCACAAACTACCATACCCTCTGCCTTGCAGACAGCAAGCATGGAGTGAAACTAAGCAAATTAAACCTCTCCCCTTAAGTTGTGGGTTTTGGGTATTATACAGGAAAGCTGACGGACACACTCATGAGCCTGCAGTAAGCAAATACCATGCACTGTTTCCAGAAGTGCTTGCTGGGTATCTTCCTTCCTTTGGGGTTTAGCATGCAGTGGAATAGTTTCTGTCATCCTCCTCCCAGTGCCTCATCAACTATAATTCAGAGAGGCATCACTACCTTGCATTGAATCACCTTTATCTTTCTTTTCAAATATGTACCCTCCCCATCACCCACTTCGGTCAGTCCTGCTTTTGTGGGGTGCCACTCACTGTAAGCCTTGGGTGCTCTCCTGGTGAGTTACATGACCCTGTTAAGCCAAGCTTCAATGGGAAGCACTTAGGATCAGCTCCACAGCATTTTTTATACTACGGATGGCATATGCAACTCAGCTGAGTCACCCTGACTGTTTCCTGACCTCTGTCCAGCCCTTACAATTCACTTAGGACCAAAGTTTAATAGCTGTTTTTTCCCTCTAGGGTTTTTCCATGGAAGAGATCTCACAAAAACTTGTTCCTGGGTGTTGTGGTTTAGATCTTAAATGTCCCCAAAAGACTCATGTGCTAAAAGCTTGACGGCCAACCTGTGACACTACTGGGAGATTCTAGAATCTTTAGGGGGTAAAGATTCTAGAATCTTTAGGTAGTTAGATCACTAAAGGTGTGCCTTTGGAGGGGTCCTGGGACCCCCTAAGTCTCTCTTTTTGCTTCCCAGCAGTTTTGCTCCCCTACATGCTCCCCTTCATGATGTTCTAACTCCCCAGAGGCTCTAAAACAAGACTCCAGTGATCATGAACTGAAACCTATGAACTGTGAGCCAAAATAAAACATTCCTCCTTGAAGTCCATTTATCTTCTATACTTTGTCACAGTAATGGGAAACTGACTATTACATTGAGGAAGTCAATTCTATTTCATGACTTATGGATTTTTTTTTTTTACAGTAGCCATTTCTTCCCCAGAATGTGTCCAAATTGTGGAAAAGTAGAGCCACAGGATGGGGGATACACTTTACCCAGGCACAGAGACGTTAGGAAAAGAAAAGCTTCCTACCTCTCCAATAAACTTGAGATACATACTAAATTAGGAAGAGAGGATTGGAAGAGGAAACTGGGCTGACTTTGTCTTAGTTTTTGCATCTTTTTCAACATGAGAAAAATCCTTCAGGAGAAAAGTTTAATCAACAATAGTAACAATAATCCATTCATTCAAAGTTGATAAATTTACCTAGTAAAGGAAAATTATTTGAAAATGGTCTACAACAGGCTATTTACACAGCCTTTGTTGCATATCCAGTAAGCATAATCCCACACGTGACTTTGTGCCTCCTCTTATCAGGATGAGCAACTCTTATAAAGCAAAATCCATTTTGTGAAAGCAACCTTGAATTATTTTTTCCCCTTTGTTACTTCCATGGGCTTTTCAGCCTCAGGGTCTTTTAATCCAATACTCATCATATAAAATGGATGAGAATGTTCTATCACCTGATCTTAATGTCTTTGGGAACAGCAGAGAACTGTCATCATGAACAATATGGTACACCATTACAGTACACCATTTGCAAAGCGTGCTCTGGCTGAGATGAAGGAATGTGCGGACTGAGTGTTTGCAGCTAGGCTGCAGAATCAAATGTAGATATTCAAGTAGTCAGTAAGGCAAAGGGGACTGCAGGGCTGGTAGCTGTTATAGGAAACCTGTAGTGAAGCCTTTTAAGTTGAATCATTGCAGTGAGATCCAAATGCTTACAGAGATGGGACATTGCTTCTGTCTTGTGGTCTTGTTGCTGGTGCTGTTTTTGCTACCTACTATTTTGCTAAGGTTCAAACTCTGTCTGGCACTATGAACTTTCCCAGGTATTTTTGTCTGGATTCTTCCTCTATTTGTAGCATATGCAGACCTCCTACTCTTTCCCTATCTTCTGGGTCTTTGATATACAAATGTGCTTCTGAAACAGTTGTTCCACAACTTGTCTGGTTTTATTTTCTTACTTGGCTAGGTGCTATATGTGATCTGAACCCAAGCTTGTCATCTTTTTTTTTTTTTTTTTTTTTGGTTTTTCTCCGGTACCGGGAACCGAACTCACGACCTTGCGCTTGCTAGGCAGGCGCTTTTGCCTGCTGAGCTAAATCCCCAGCCCCTGTCATCTTGATCTTGATCCCAAGCTACCACTCACAAAGTAGGGGTGTACCAACTCCATGCCAGTCACTGGAAGTTCAGTGGTAAGCCAAACAAATCTCTTTCTTCTTTTACAAACCTCACTATCTAGTGATGAAGAGATATTAACCACACACCCCAGGGAGCATATAGTTATTAATTATGATAAGTACCATGAAAAGAACAAAATGTTGTGAAATAGATAAAAGGAAAGGCTTTTCCAAGACAGTGACATTAAGCTAAGACCTAAAGAGTTAGTGGGAGTCAAATGGATAAAGAGCTTTCCAAGCAAGAAAAACAACATGACCAACAATTTGCTGGCAGGAAAGAATTTGGCAAATGCAATAAAATTGAAGCAAGTTAACGTGACTAGAGAATAGTGAGCAAGGAAAAAACACAAAATAGTCTGGAGAACGAGCACAATAGAAGGCTGTCCAACTGTGACAAGAATAGGGTGTTCTGACCTCAGGCCTTGGAAGCCACTGCAAGAATTAAAAGCAGAATGACTGTAATCTCATATATGGTATTCAAAGGACAAAGACAAGATTGGAATTAAGGACACCAGCAAATAAGAGAATATTGTCATAAACTATGGGAATGTTGAATTTGACCTCTGAGTGTCCATGAAGTTTAGCTTACACCACATGGAAGCTTCTATCCAGGCCCTCTGCCTTATACTGTTTCTCTCATTCTGGCTGTTTCTTTTCCTTCTGTTCTTTGATGTTTATGGAGCTTGAATACCACCATAGCTTGTCCTTGCTCAAAAGAAATAAAACAACCCAGAAAAGAGATGAAAGCAATCAGATGGTCTCTTTTGAAGGAATTATCTTTATTTTTAATAATTTCTTTTCCACTACAAGAAGGACTTTAAGGGTCAGGCATATGCCTTTTCTGATTCTCCTCCTCCCCTACCACTGATACAGGGCCAGGAGCCAGTACTGAATAAAGAATTAGAAGAGCAAATCTATGGTCTCATTTCAGATATTACTCTGGATGTCAAGTGCTCCATCTTTGATCTCAAGTGTCCCCCAAAGGTCCATGTAACTGCTTGACCTCCAGCTTGGTGCTCGTGGAAGGTGATGCCTTAATGAAGTGTCTTTAGGTATTTAGGTCATTGGAGCCATGACTTTGAATAGGATTATGGGTCCTCATCCCTCGCTCTTCCTCTTTATGAGTTTTGTCCCACATAAATTTCCTTCATGCTGTGCTTCCTCTTCACAGGCCTGAGAGAAACAGAACCAAGCAATCATACATTGAACCTCCAAAATTGTGAGCCCAAATAAACTTCTTTTATAAATTAATTCTTTCAAGTATTAGCTGTAGTGACAAAAAACTGCCTAATATGTAAAGTAATGGAAACACAGATGTGAGCTAGAATGGGCAGTATCAAACCTGACAGAAGCACAGCAACAGGATTGACTTTTGACAAATTCAGCAGTGGTGTTTCTGATTCAAAAGCTGTGTTTCAGGGTAGAAACTTAAATCTCTGAGAGGTCAAATCCATGCTTTGATCCAAGGGAATAAGTACTTAAATAGAGCAGAAAACCAAATGACCTGAACTTCACTCTTACAAGAGATAAGCCTAGGTTCAATCTCTCTCACAAATATCACTGAATCCTCATAGATACCGGGGGGTCCTTGGGGTCAGAGGTAGTTAGAATAAAATGTGTATTCATGGCAATCTTGGAGGGGATGGAGGGGAAATTTAGCATTTTCCATGGTTAGGAAATTGAATAGTGTTGAAATTAGAGTGAGATTGCAAAGGATTTTGACTAGAGGCCAGAGTAGTCTTACAGGAAGCATGAGGGGCTCATTGGTAGTAAATATTAATAGAAGGCTACAGTGAAGGTTCCTGAATTGTGTGGATAGTATTTTAATGTCTATATATCCTTTTGGTGTATTGGGGGGGCTAACTAATAAAACGTGTGTGTGTGTGTGTGTGTGTGTGTAAATGTGTACACAAGCTTTGTTTATGTCTCTGAAAGAAAGGCAATGACATATTTCAAAGTACAGAAAAGACAATACTTCAGAGTGACATCACCACCAAAATACTGCATATAATCACCTTAGTAGCAGACAGATACATCTTTTTCATGCTGAAAAGAGAATAAATAACATTGGTTTAATTCACTTTACAGCATAGGTTAACAGTCCATCAGGATCTTGAACTGTTTTAGGCAGCTGAAGTGTGCCTGGAACATGGTTAATGGTTAGACCCTCTCATACCTCTGGGAGGAGAATTTTCAGAATTTCAGGATTATGGTTATCTGTCTCAGGCTGATGCAGATATCTTTTTCCTCTTGGGGAGCAGTAAAAGTTGAAAGTGCAGGGTTAAAAGAGGAGACTGACTGGTTTGGTGCAAAGGAGATGGCCACTTCTAACTTGAAGAGCAGGTCTCTTCCCAGCAGTGGAATGGGGATGGGGTTACACAAGAGATGTCCTCCCAGGCTGCAAGTCTGTACCTGGCAGAAGGGATGAGAGGCAAGAGTCCTAGTTGCTCTAATGACAGTACTATGGGCTCCCAGTGGCCCAGCTGAAGAAGAGAGCCTGGTCTGGCCTGCTCTGAGCCTGTCAGACTAATGAAAGTGTTATCATCTCGTAACTTCTGACATAATGTTGGTCTTTTTGCCCCCCGTTTGATGTCTTTGAGAAGCACTCAACTGGATTATTTCTAAGCAAGGACACTTTTGGGAAAGATCATAGAAACTCATTCATCAGGGCTGACAGTCCAATTTTTCCTCAGTCAATCATCTCAGGTGGGCATTAAATGATGCCACCTGACCAGGATAGGCATAGCTGTGAAGCAGAAGGCTTGGGAGTAGAGACCCTATGGCAAAATGCAGGCAATGGCTGACTGGAACCAGTTCAATTGGCTGGAAGTAGATGAGTCGGGAGCTGGGAGTGAAGCTATTAGTGGTGGCAGCAAGTACAACAGCTGACAAGGTTGCCAAGGCAGAATTACCAGGAAGAATGGGCCTCTTTTTCCTTTTTTTCTTTGAGACACAGGGGATGGTTTGGTTTCATTTAACTCCATAAAATCCCTTTTCCTGCAGTCAGAGACTATGGGATTTGATTAATTAATTCCCATCTCTGACTTCCTACATATGTGTTGTGTAGCCTTGAACAATGGCACAACAGATAAAGCATGGGTGCTCCTCAGAGAGAGACCATTCAAATGCCTACCTGGCCATGCCCCTCATGGGGACTTAGGTGCAACTTAGCTAAGGAGGGTGCAAGGCTTCTGTTATGCCATACATCAAGCACCACAGAACCATAGGTGAGGGCCCAGTCAACTGCCATGACCAGTGCTTCCCAGCCTTGGTGCACAGACAGAGCAGCCTGTTGCTTCTGCTGTCCATTCCACTCACTCTCACATTCATTCAGCAGGAACTCAGAGGTTAAACATTCCAACCCTCTTCCCTTGAGGGTGGTCCTGACTAAAGCAAGTTGATCAGACTCTCCTTCTGGTTCAACTGAGCAAGACTGACAGATAGACTAACTGGGGTGCCCCCAGGGGTCTTAACAGAATCAGGCAGGCTTGCTGACAGAGGGACAGACAGACTGATTGTATTCTCTTCCCTTTGGGGTCTAATGTGAGCCGCTCAACCAGGGGAGCCAAAGTCCTCCTCCAGACCTCTGAGGGAATTTGACAAATCTTGAGGGCATGCCTTCCAATCAGGACCTAGAGAGGTCCCTGCTCCATCCATGAGGGCCATGACTAGTGACCAAAGAGGTCAGAATGGTCAGTTTTCCCGGCCAATGCACCAAATACAATGGCAAGCAGAAACACCAAAATGACAACTAGGATTTGGAGGCACATTTATTTTACATTAGATGATGTAAAATTGATTCACTGACTAGGAATCAGTTGTTCCTCAAAATGTCAGGCCCTGATCTCTGGTGGTCTAGGACTTATATGGGATAAGCAAGCAGGAAGTACTGAAGCAGAATAGTTTGATAATTAGGGATTGGTTCTTACAATATGCATCATAGTGACCAACTATGCATCACAGTGACCAGCTGTTTCTAGGAGACAGAAGCAAACAGGAGTGCAATAGGAAATACTGCATGGGCAACTAAGAAACTGAAGTATGCTGGCTGGCGGGGGGCACTTTCTGCCGCAGTAAAATCAGTTGACATTTTTGCCAGATGGAAATGGGGTAAATTGCCTCCTCTTTCTAAATTCCCCCTCTTATGAACACTACAGACAAAGTTAAAACCAAAGGAGGAAAGAGACATTTTTTTCTTCAAGTTACCAATGCTTCTCTTTAATTATTTTGTGACATGTAATGTATGGGTTCAAACCTGAACTTTTCTTTATTTCAGCAGGAGACTGGAAAGAAAAAATTGAAATCTCTCTGCATTGTGTGTTTTGCTCTAATACCAGGAAAGCATCATAAAATTCAAGCACATTGTTACCATCCTGAACGTAAGAAAGCAGGAAAGATTATTTAAAAAAAAAAAAAAAGAAGAAGCAAAGAAAGAGCAAGCAACCTAGCTTATGTGGATTCATGGTCACGGTCTAAGAGTTGATGGCATTTACGAAAAACTAAAAAGCATTAATCACCAGACAGAATGCGAACCCTAGAAAATTCTCCATACTACACAATAACTCTGGGCCCCAGCTTCGATATTTGCTTGTGTCATGGTGGCTTCCCACAAGTCAGACAAGCCCAGGATAATCATAAAAGAAAAATGCCTTCCAATACAAGTCAGAATAATTTCTGACTCATCACACCATTATTACCACCTTAATCCAAGAAATCCAGCCTACTTGTGAAATTAAACAGAGTGCACTATTTGGAAGTTAAAATTATATCCAGAGCAATGATAATTTCCTGCTTTATTCTAATGCTGATCAGCAAAGCTACAGTTCTAAATGGGACAGGGTCTGCATGCTTCTCTCTGTATGCTTGTCTCTGTGGAGCCAAGTATGTATTACCAATGAAATGATAGTATACCTTACTGTCCAAACAGAAGTACTTCTGAGAAGAAGATCCACTGAGCTGCCAGATTTTATAAGAGAGAAGTCTCCTTCAAAAAAGAGACTTGAGTACATTTGTCCATTGGTAGCCATTGGGACCATGTAGTTATAAACATTTAATGTGAAATGAGTAAAAATAAAATAAAATCTAAAATTCTGTTTCTCAGTTATCACAATCACATTTTTAAGACATTTTTAAATAGCAGCACAAGCCGTATTTTTTAAAGAGCAAATGCAAGCCACATTTCAAAGTGCTTAATAGCCACGTGGAGCTAGTAAAATAAGACAGCACAGATACAGAGCATGTGTGTCACTGAAGAAAGTTCTATTGGATAGCACATCAGTAGACATTTCAAAAGAGAGGTCCAGCTAGAAGCTCCTGGGAAACAGCCAAATATATATTACCAGTGAAATGACAGTATACCTTACTGTCCAAACAGAAGTACTTCCGAGAAAGAAAAAGAAGTCACTGATAATTATGGTAGGGATGAGAGGATATCACTCAGGAGTTCAGTGTATGCTTTGCATGCACAGAGTCCTGGATGCAATCCCCAGCATCAAAACAAATGAATAAATAAATAAGTACATGAATATCTGAGCATAAAAGAGAGTGAAAACTATCAATAATCATGCTACCAATAACAAAAACCCAGATGTGTCATCACCTGATCACATTCTTTCTAGGGGTGCCATTTGGGTCAATTTCAGTTGGAAGAGTGCTCCCTGGAGTTGTGTGCAAGTGTCTGTTACCTTTATAGATACAACTAGAGCTCACAACTAGAACCAGAATTTGCCTCTGAAAGGATTATCACCTAAAAAGGTGATCCCCTTCCAGAAGCAAGCTTGTATCAAAGTTGAGGTGAAGCTACATCCTCCTTTGGTGCTGCACTATTTCTAGTGCACTACATCTGGCCCGCATTCAGATCTGTGTTTTTCCTGGATCAGGCTTAGGTGAGGCTCACCTCATCCAAACTAAGTCAAATGCTAGAAAATAGAGTTGCTTTCCAGCAATTTCCCTGGTGAAAGACTCACATACCAACCCAGCTGTTTTAGAGTCACTTCATCTGCCCAGGCCTCAAATCATTACACCAAATAGTGCCTGTGAAAAGGAAGGAGTAGAAAGAGAAGGCCTGCTAACCCCCAAGGCCCCATGAAGGACAAAAATCACTTTTTTTATTTCACTGAACCTTTGGGGAGAGGGAATGTTATGGTTTGAGTCTGGCTGTCCCACCAAAGCCT